GGCACGCAGGGCGACGCCGCGAGATGGGTATCGCGCCGCAGCCCTTGGTAAGTGGAGCAACACGACCGCAAGGGGCGCGGGGGACGAGGGCTGATAAAATGACGAGGCTGATGGACCCGGACGACGCGGGCGCACGCATAAACACACATGGACGGACACATACGTACGTGTATACAGACACACAAACATGCCCATGTACAAGGGTTTCTGTGTGTCTCTGTTTTTTGTCTCTCTCTCTCTCTCTCTCTCATCTTTCTCCCTATCCCTCCCTCCCTCCCTCCCTCCCCCCTCTCCCTCTTACACTCTTATTTTCACTATATATATATATATGCATAAATGTATATAGACAGATAGATAGCTATATGTATATATATTTTCCCTCTCTTATATATTTCATATACATATATGTATAGATATAGATATACATACATATATATACATAGATATATATACATTATTATGTGTATATATGCATCTATAAATATATATGTATAGTCTATATATGTATATGCATTTGTATGTAAGGATACATATATCATAAACTTCTCTCTCCCTCCTCCCTCCCTTTTTCTCTTTCTTTTTATTTCCCTCTCTCTCTCTCTCTCTCTCTCTCTCTCTCTCTCTCTCTCTCTCTCTTCCCTCTCTCTCTCTCTCTCTCTCTCTCTCTCTCTCTCTCTCTCTCTCTCTCTCTCTCTCTCTCTCTCTCTCTCTCTCTCTCTCTCTCTCTCTCTCCTCTCTCTCTCTCCCTCTCTCTCTCTCTCTCTCTCTCTCTTCTCTCTCCCTCTCTCTCTCTATCCCTCTCCCTCTCTCTCTCTCTCTCCCTCTCTCTCCCCTCTCTCTCTCTCTCCCTCGCTCTCTCTCTCCCTCTCTCTCTCTCTCCCTCTCTCTCTCTCCTCCTCTCCCTCTCTCTCTACTCTCCCTCTCCTCCCTCCTCCCTCCATTTCTCTCTCTCTCTCTCTCTCTCCCCCTCTCTCTCTCTCTCCCTCTCTCTCTCTCTCCCTCTCTCTCTCTCTCCCTCTCTCTCTCTCCTCCCTCTCTCTCCTCTCTCCCTCTCTCTCACTCTCCCTCTCTCTCTCTCTCTCTCTCTCTCTCTCTCTCTCTCCCTCTCTCTCTCTCTCCCTCTCTCTCTCTCTCCCTCTCTCTCTCTCTCCCTCTCTCTCTCTCTCCCTCTCTCTCTCTCTCTCCCTCTCTCTCTCTCCCTCTCTCTCTCTCTCTCCTCTCTCTCTCTCTCTCTCTCCTCTCTCTCTCTCTCTCTCTCTCTCCCTCTCTCTCTCTCCCTCTCTCTTTCTCTCTATTCACTCTCACTCTCTCTGTTCACTCTCACTCTCTCTGTTCACTCTCACATTCTCCCATTCACTCTCTCACTCACTCACTCTCACCTTTACTCGCTCACTTTCTCACTCACTGTCACTTAGTCACTCGCTCTCACTTTCTCACTCACTCTCACTAACTCAGTCACTCACTCTCATTCCCTCAAACACTCAACTCCCATTCAACTCACTCTTACTCTCATTCATTCATTCACTCACTCACTCATATATGTATATTTATACGCGCGCGCACGCGTGTGTGTGTGTGCGTAGGTATATAGATATGTATGTGATTTATACATATATGTTTATGTATATATACATGTATGTTTATATATCTATGTATATGTATATATATATATATATATATATATATATATATATATATATATATACGCATATGTATGTTTACATAAATGTACATGTATATATGTATATATATGCATACATATATGAGAGAGAGAGAGAGTTTTTTTTTTCATTTATTACCGTTAGATTATATAGCTGTATTTTCTTCAGCTTTATTATCACGTGTAACAAAATACCATCAGTAACGATAAATTTGAGAAATTTGACGTCGGGTCGTAAAGAAAAAGTTGCCTCCGTGGATGGCGTGGGAGTCTTTGCAATTTGGACAAGACGCGAGCCTGTCGAGACTGGGAAATATGAAGCTGTTTGGACTGGCGAGACATAAGGCTCCCGAGAGGCGAGATACGGAGCTTTTGGGAGGAATATGATTCAAGGCTGGCGGGACGTGTATATAAAATGTAGGCAGTGTCAGAACCAGAACCTTTCAGCGTTGTCAATAGCTCCAGCAGGACAAAAAACAGTCGGGTCTGTCTAGAAACAAGGTTGTCAAGATTGTTAAGACAGAGAGCCGTCAGGATTTGGCGACATACACACAGAAAAAAAGGAAGCTTTTGTTGCCACGGGGCTGTCGAACCACGAGGCTGTCGGGAATGCCAAGACATAAATAAAGGCTCCCGCGATCTTGCAAGACACGGAGCTCCTCGGTTCGGACAAGAAATACAGTTATCGGAACCTGCCAGCGGACGAAACTCTCGGGGGGAGGACAACACACGAGCGCCGCCGAGCGAGGTGGGACCCGCGGATGCCTCCTTCGGCTCGGGGGGAAAGAAACTTATCGATATAGCAGCCAGGGGCGGAGGCAGGTTGGACGAGGAACATGGCCAGAGCAGTTAGACGTCTGACACTAACTTCTCTGACTCGCTCGTGTGGTGGTCTGACAGGTGGACAGGTAGGGAGAGAGGCTGGGAGGGAGAGGTGCAGTCTAGATTGTCCATTACGAACTGGAGTGACTTATATTGGGCGTCTGTGTCACCCTTCATGGCTGTTATTTATGCCATGCTACATTGAATGGTATGCTAAACATACTTGTTTCGCGGTTCTGAATAAAGATGTACTCTGTTCCAGAGCATTATTTTGAATCATAATCCCAATGTGTGACATACTTGTTGATTGGACTCCGTGGTATGTTATATCCATTGTTTAAGCGAGTCAATAATGTTGGTTTTATTAGATGCAACCTGTCTGGAGATAAGCTCATTCATAGAATGTATACGCTTATGAATCCGCGATGACACACACAAACGCATGCAACCATACACATTCAAGACAAACACAGTCATACACACGCGCGCACACAGCCATACACACGCGCGCACACAAATACACTCATCCGGAAACCCACAAACCAATATGACCACTCAAAACACAAAGAATTAAACAAATACGCACGTAAAACACACACACACACACACACACACACACACACACACACACACACACACACACACACACACACACCTGGTTACGTGTTGTCAGGCGAGAGCGATAAGCAGAGAGATGGAGGCTGTGAAGGAAGCAAAGTGAGTATTAGTTAGATGACGCCGCCAGCATCGGAGACAGTGGGAGACGACCTGTGTGGGAGGAGAGGGAGAGGGAGAAGTGGTCAGCTGGCGAGGCTTGGAACGGTTGCAGATGGACACACGCACGACTGATCTACATACAAGCATATACTCATATATAGGTTATATGTGTGTGTGTGTGTGTGTGTGTGTGTGTGTGTGTGTGTGTGTGTGTGTGTGTGTGTGTGTGTGTGTGTGTGTGTGTGTGCGTGTGTGTGCGTAGGTATAAATATACATGTATATAAGCATATACGAGTATGTTTATGAGTATATATGTAGGTATAAATATGCATATGTATATATATGTATGTATATGTACATACTTTATGTCTGTGTAAATATATGTACATGCATATGTATATGTATATGTACATACTTTATGTATGTGTAAATATATGTACATGCATATGTATATGTATATGTACATGATGTACATGATATATATATATATATATATATAGAGAGAGAGAGAGAGAGAGAGAGAGAGAGAGAGAGAGAGAGAGAGAGAGAGAGAGAGAGAGAGAGAGAGGGAGAGGGAGAGGGAGAGGGAGAGAGAACAGACAGAGAGGGGTAGCAGACACCTCTCTCGCGCGCGAACGCGCGCACGCACGCACGCGCACCCCCCTCCCCCCATACACACACACTGAGAGGGAGAGGGAGAAAGGGAGAGAGGAGAGAGAGAAAGAAGGAGAGAGAGAGAGAGAGAGAGAGAGAGAGAGAGAGAGAGAGAGAGAGAGAGAGAGAGAGAGAGAGAGAGAGAGAGAGAGAGGAGAGGAAAGAGAGAGAGAGAGGGGAGGAAAGAGAGAGAGAGAGGGGAGGAAAGAGAGAGAGAGAGAGGAGGAAAGAGAGAGAGAGAGAGAGAGAGAGAGAGAGAGAGAGAAGGAAAAAGAGAGAGAGAGAAGGAAAGAGAGAGAGAGAGAGAGAGAGAATAAACGTGTGTTCATTATGTCCTCTTTTCCCCCTTCTTATACACATCACACATAAAACACACAGGTATCGCTTGCCAACAGTGTATCCTGCAAAATCCACGTCTACGATTAGCAAATGCGCACAACGACACCCAAAACTAGCTGCGTAGAAACAAAACCAAAACAGAGAGAGAACACATCTTGGAAAGAACAGAGAGAGAACATATCTTGGAAAGAAATCAAATGCATCTCAAAATTCGAAACGCATTGAAATCAATTTTCTTTTTTTTAACAGATTATCAAAAATATGGTAACAATACTGATAAGATGAAAATGACCAAATCACGTTCACTTTTGACGATAAACGAATATCTTGTCTTGATAAGGGGGAAAAAATCCAACCATGAAAATATATATACATTTGAGGCAAAACGACCCAAGTACGGTATGATGTTATCAATGACTTTGATTTATGTACGTATGCTGATAATCCACAATCATTATAGCCCTTGGTGTTCGCAGTCAATTCAAAGCGAATTGTACTCCAGTCCTTTTTGCATTTGTTTGTTTGTTTTTTGTTTTTGTTTTGTTTTGTTTTGTTTTTTTTGTGTTTGCACTATACTAACATCCTGGAACGCAATGCAATGCCCAGGGCATGAAGTATATTAATATCTCTGACACCAGCCCGTGATACAAACCATCCTAAATCAGACATGCAAGTAAATAATACTCCTCAATTAAAATCACCAACAACAAAAAGTGAATTCCATTGAATTGAAATGTACCCAAAATAACAAATAAATCTGATTCGTCAATTTAACAAACATCCTTCTCGCTTCCTTGTCTTTACATACCTCTGAGATCTCGTTGTTGGAGCTCCCGTGTGGTAGGTATGGGTGATGGTACTTAAACGTGGTATCCTTGTAGTTCTCAACCCGCTCCACCAGTTCCACCATTTCTGATCACCGACCGGCTGACAGGTGGAGCACAGGTGGGATGGAAATAGATTCCTCCAAAGTCCACGGAACAGTCCAAAAAAGGGGGGGGAGGGATTGATTACTTTTTCGTCCGCGCCTTTTCTTTCATCGAGCGCGGTCAATGCAGTGGTCGGGCTTCATGGTCTTGGGGCCTCGGTCGTACAAGGAAGTAGATTTTGCAAGGTGGGTTTTCTTTTTATATATATAGATATTTTTTTTCTCTCGTGTCTTGGATATTTCTACTATATACTTGGCGGTCTACAGGTTAGCATATTGTTGTAGGAAAGACTTGAGGAGTGTAAATATCCAGTTCTTTATTTTCGTTTTTAGGTTCTATATCTTTTCCCTCTTTTCAGTTCTATTATAATTCTTTCGTTTAGTTTTCACTGGTATCTGCATGTATGTATGTATGCGTATTATCCTTTTCTCTCTTTTTAAATCACTATTGTCTCTAAGGCATAAACGATAGTCTGGCTCACTGGTACTTTTATTTAATCTTTTCCTATAGATTCACATCCACACAAAATTTCCTATACATGAATACTGACAGTTACTGCAGTTGCAATAATACAACTATAACTTTCTTCATCTTCATAGAATTTGCAATCAGCTATCTATTAGAATTCGTTGTATCGACAGCGATCCTGTAATGAGGAAGTTGCAGCAGCTAGCGTAGGCCTGGGTGTCCGTGACTCCACACCCACACACACTCCTTCTACAGCTATGGTCGTAGCCTTGAGTTTCCTCGCCTTCAGGAGAT